CCCCCTGGGCACACTCTGGCTCCTGTTCAGCTTCCTGTCAAAGTCAGAAGGAAAGCAGTTTTGGGGTAGAGGTAGATAGGCTGGTTGCAGCAACTACAGCATCTGGAAGCTGCTCACACTCGGTCCTTTCTGGATGTCCCCCCTTTCAAGGGATTATCAGGCAGCAGCTCCAGGCAGTACTCTGGGTATCAGCTGGCATATTCCTGACATGCTGCCTACAGTCAAAGGAGTTGATTATTGTAGCTACAGACACCTGACACATTGGAAGAATCTCAAGCTGGTCACTCAGGCTGTCCCTACAGCCTGGTACCCTGGTAGCCCAACAAGGACTATCCCAGGATATATTAAAACACAGCACAAGGCATTACAGTTAGAATACATAATGATTTTATGGTTCATGACTTGTGCTTTATGAAACAATAAATTGTGTTTACTTCCCCTGGTTATAAAAGAGGATGGGAGAATTCCTAGGTTGTTCCAAAAATGTAAAACAGGATCAGCAGTAAAAGATGTTGAAGCAGCAGCGTTTCTCTGAGAAGCAGCCAACTTAGAAGTGGAATATGGATTAGTGTCATCAGGAGCAGCAGCAAGAGCTGCACAGGCAGTCTGATGGGGCACTTTCTTTGCACATCATTCTGAGGCTCTACAGCTGAGCCACTCAGAAAATCACAGCTGAAAAATTTTGTCCAGAACTATCAAGCAGATTTGCACCTTCTCTACACTCTGAATTTTACAGGTTACTGAATAAAGATGAACGAATATCTTATGTAGCAGGTGTAATTTCGATATTCAGAAAGGAAAAAAGTAGCTCCACTACCATAAACAGCAAAGGCATGAACTAGAGTTTGATGTGCCATACAGGGTCTTTGCAGAAGTCTGTAATCTCTTGTCAGATGAGGAAAATAAAAGCTCTTTTTAAACAATTCAGTCAATCTCTTCTTCAATTTTTTTTTTTATTTGCAAAAACGGCAGCTGGGAAGCCTCTAATATGCTCTGTTATAACGAGGAAAAACTCAATGAATTTTCTTCTTTAACATGTCATTTTGAGATTATTTAAATACTCTCATTAATCATAAACTAACACAAAATATGCTAGAAGTCAGTCTTCCCCCCTAATTCAGAAGTAGCATTAATTTCAGTCTCTATAATTTCCTGGCTGTAGTCAACAAGCCTTTAGGGAGCTTGTGAATCTACTTCTCTTAGTTGGAACTGGCTGTCAAGTTCAAAAATTATGAAGACATAGACTGATAGACTGACTGCAAGCACCATTTTTCTTTGAAAATACAGAAGACCAACCAATATTTACACTGGTAGTTTTTCAAGTGGCAAAAATATTTAAGCTCCAAAAGCTCAACAATGTATTTTCTCAATTTTAGAAAATTCTGAGTTACTGTAAGCCAGATGTAGACCAACTGACCAGGTTCAGTTTCAAAAAGTATTTTACAAGTCTGGGTTTACTTTCTAAGATGTCTCAAGGCAGGCACCTGAAATTACAAGTACCAGAAGTGACAGCATACTTTTGAAAACATAAGCTTCTGTTTCCAAATCACAGAAAGTTATTTTTCTTACTGACTTTTGGACACAAAAAAGCCTTATTTATTCACCCCACATACTCAGAACCATGTGACCAGTTTCTTTGGTCCTGTCTGGATTGAGTTGGTTTTTCACAATGTCTTTAATTTGCTCACTTAAGTTTGTTCCTATATATATTTTGTGTTCTTATTAACATTCTGAAGAAGTTGAAGAATTCAAAGTAATAAGTAAGCTTTCCAACATGAATATCTATAGTATTTTCCATTATAACATTAGCTTCAGAAGACCTTCATGCTACCCAAAGAGTTGATAATTCTTTGTTTTGCAAAGACTCCTTGCCTTGACATTGAAAATCTTGTGTTCTTCTGCTGAAGGTGAAATAGCTCTGCCCACAATGAACACAGCTCTGCAAGACCTTAATGATACAGTAAAACACTTTTTTGTTCACAGACTGTCCATTCCATGGTGTAACACAACCCCAGGGCTTTTACTACCTAGCACATGCTAGGAGCACGTGAAAAATAAGACAATTCCTGATTTTAATACAAAAGAAAGACTCTAACCAGATATTCTTTTACCCCAATGGGTTAGTCCTTTATGCCATCAGGAAACAAGGCAAACTTTTTATCCCCATCCTACAGATGGGAACGAGCACTGAGGGAGCAAGACCAAATGACCCATCAAATCTATGGGGGATATTAACATCACAAGCAGAGCTTGGAACTTCCAAATCAGTTCTTAGACTACTGGCCAGTGGCCCCAAATTGTGATCATGCAAATAGTCAAATTGACCATACAGTCAAAATAATGATGCATTTAAATAGTCAACTTGTGATCATGCAAATAGTCAAATTGACCATACAGTCAAAATAATGATGCATTTAAATTAGTCAATCTGTGATTATAATTACAAGTTTAATTTGTATTCTGTGTGCACAATAAAATTTAGAACTACCCAAAATATGTGTCTCAGAGTAGATTGCAATGTTTAATTTCCTGACACTCTGTAGATGTTAGGGAAGGGTTACTGTGATCCCTATGTCTTTTAATATGCCCTAAAGATAAGTGAATCGAGATGAAAAAAATCCAAGAACCATAGGCAACCTCATAATCCATACTCTTTGTGCTGTTCATTTCCTAAGGACTGTTCTACGTGGGGGCAATTATCCATATTCTATGTATACTATAGCAGGAGACATCTATTTTCCAACTGCTACATTTCCCCCTCTCCAAATTGTACTCCCTCTGTTGGTATAATCAAAATGCTCATTTGTCCTTAAAGAGAAAAGTATAGTAAACATCTGAATTTATAGATTTCATCCTATATTTTTTTAGCAAAATACACAAAAAAAATCAAAATAATTATTATAGACTCTTAAAAATGAATTAGGCCTTGACAGTTAGCTACCTCATTCTGCTCTAAAATTCAAGAAACTCTGAGAAAATCTCTTTTTTTATACAATCTTTTGGATGTGTCATTTGCCATTTATATTTGATGGCCTTAAGGAAAAAAAAAGTTACAAAAAGGTATTAATGCAAGTAGATAATAAAGCTGCATTCTATAAATCTATAGCAGCTTACAGTAATCATTAAAGCATGCAAAACTCTTTCATCTATTCAAAAATATGCAGTGCACAGAATGCCTGCTAAGGTGCATGACAAGTCAGAGTTAAATATATATTAATAAATGAATTAGCTTCATAAATAATAGCCATAATGACATTTTAGGAGACAATAAGTCTGAGGATTGTCAGAAAATGGTTGATGTATGAGCTTCACGTCTCAGTGATTCTTCAAAATGAATAGGCTTTGCGAGATAGTTCAGACCCACGACCAGCCTATTTCCTTGAATAATTTACTTGTTGTCAATTTGTACAGCCACATTACACATGCAAATTGTGCTGCCTGTGCAAACACCACTTGGAGATGATAAAAACAAATTTACGAAGGCTATAGAGGAAGGATTTATTTCACTTTCTCGCCCAGGTCAAGCAAT